TTTGGGATCATGAGAATATGAGGGTAGGCTAGAATCGCATGTTTTAGTCATAGTTTGTACACCAATTACTGCACTTTACTTGTGTTTGAGATTAAATATTAGTATATTACACTTATTGTATGTTTTATGCCTTGCAGGAAGTGATTTCGAGTTAAAAATATATTCGCGAGCTAAATTGAACAAGTTGGAGCTTTGAAGTCTGAGTAAAAACCCAAGGGATTAACCCGAGATCATGTTCGGGGTCCGGGAGCCAAGTCTGGATATAGAAACGCGAAGAAAACAATTTACTCTGGAAGTCATTCACTGTCGCGCCGCATGGGATAAGGTAATTTCACCTGGGCCCATTCCTAAAGTGTATAAATACACCAAAAAGATATTTTCTTAGGGACTTTGGACCTTGGAAGCTTTGGGAGAGCATTGAAGGCTACAAGACACAGGATTTCATCATCTTTCCATCAATTCAATACGAGAGTTTGGAATGTAAAGTTAGATTGATGCTTTCTTATTCTTCAATTATATTTGTGATGACTTCATCCATGATTGTGGAGTAGTTTACCTTAGGGTTTGACGGATATAGTATTTTGATAAATATTTGTGGGGTTTAACTCTAGTTTATGCCTGAATTCGTTTATGGAGTTTTGAATTGTTGTAATTTTATTCATCAATTTATTTAATCGAAAGAGGAATATCTTGGTGATTATCTTTGCATTATTTTGTTTGATTTAATTCATTGATTATCTTGAGTAATAAAAAGAGCTTGTTGAATTGTTGATTGAATCAAGTTAGGAAAATATTCGAGAGACGTTTTCCTAAGGATCAATCCATTAACGCATTCTTGCACACTTCACAGTGCTTATATTAGTTCATCTCGTAGAGTTAAGGTTTAATCGAGAGACGAGTCTTGACTACACGTTTGAACTAATTATCGAGTGAATTCGTGAGAATCATTAAACATTTGAGTGAACTAAACTAGAGTTAAGTCACCAAATGGCCATCTTGCACCTATCCTGTCAAACCCTTATTCCTCATATTGATAAGAAATCAACTCTGCACTCTCCAATTCCTTGTTGTCCATTGTCAATTGCTTTATTTTAATAGTTAAACTTAGTTCATAATCAATTAATTCAATTGTTGAACCTCCTGGATAGCGTTAAGATGGAAATTACTTGAGCATTGTTTAAATTCAATCCCTGTGGAGACGATATTATATTATACTATCTTTGATTAGCGAGCACCAATTTTGTGTTGTGTTTTGCGCTCGTCAAAATACTATGCACGACCACTTGAATTCTAACGGTGCTCAAAACGTCGTTAGAATCTGATTGACCTGAAATTTGGTGGGTCCATCGAAACACTCTTTGTGAGCAATACTCACCATGACTAATGTTATTTTTTGACGTTTAGGGCATGAAACAAGAATTAATGATTATGTCTATTTTTTTGTGTATTTATATACATGATGATTTTCCTGAATTTGATTGATGAACTTTGATTGGCTTAAACAGTAGTGGAACCATCAGAAACATCTTTGAGAGCAATACTTACCATGATTAACAATATTTTTTGGCATTTCGAAGTCACAAGAATACCATGTACGGCCACATGAAACCTACCCGTTCTATGCACGACCAGTTAGATCCTACCAGTACTAAAAAAGTTGATGGACTCTAATTGACTTGAAATTTGTTGGGTCCATCGTAAACGGCCTAGTGACTAATACTCGTAATGACTAACATTATTTTTAGGCATTTTTGGGGTCATAAAATATAAAATAATAATTATGTCTATTTTTTCGTGTGTTTATATGCATGATGATTTTTCTGAATTTGGTTGATGGACTCCGATTAGTCTAAATATTAGTGGATCTATCATATACGGCCTTGTGAGTAATACTCAACATGACTAACGTTATTTTTTGGTATTTCAGGGTCATAAGAATACTATGCACGACCATATGAAACTAACTCGTACTATGCACAACCACATAGATCCTACCATTACTCAAATAAGTTGACGGACTTTGATTGACCTGAAATTTGATGGGTCTATCAGAAACGACATACTCGCTTGACTAACATTGTTATTTGGTATTTCAGGATCATGAAAGAAGAATTAATCATTATATCTGTTTTCTCGTATGTTTATATAAATGGTGATTTTCCTAAATTCGGTTGACAGACTCCATTGTGCTAAATATTAGTAGATCCATACGGCCTTGTGAGCAATACTCACCGTGCCTAACATTACCTTTTGGTGTTTCGAGGTTATAAGAATACTATATACCCAGAGGCGGATCCAGGATTTAAATTTTATGGGTTCAACTTTTAAAGTTATGAGTTCATATCTATTTTTTTGTAATTTTAATAAATTTTTACACATAAATTTTTACTCAGTGTCAAAAGTTATGGGTTCAATTGAACCCGGTAGTAATATACTACATCTGCCCCTGTATATACCGCCACATGAAACCTACATATGCTATGTACCGCCACATGAAACTTGCATGTGCTATGTACTTCCACTTGAATCCTATTATGCTCAAAAAGTTGACCGACTGCGAGTGACCTGAAATTTGGTGAGTTCATAGAAAACGGTCTTATGAGCAATACTCGCCATAAATATATCGTATTTTGGAATTTTGCGGTAATGAAACAAGAATTAATGATAATTTCCATTTTTCGTGTATTTAAAAATTTAATTGATTTTTCTGAATTTGGTTGACAGATTCCTATTTGCCTAAAAATTGGTAAAACCATCGGATACTACCTTGTGAGCAATACTCATCATGACTAACCTTATTTTTTGACATTTAGGAGTCATAAGAATACTATGCACGGCCATATGAAATCTACTCGTGCTATACACGGTCACTCAGGTCCTTTCGGTGCTCAAAAAATTAACGGATTCTGGTTGATCTGAAATTTGGTGGATCCATCGAAACCGACCTTGTGAGCTATACTCGTTATGACTTACATCATTTTTCAGTATTTTTGGATCATGAAGTAGGAATTAATGATTATGTCTACTTTTTCGTGTGTTTCTATACATAATAATTTCCCGGGTAGAGTTACTTTTGTTCAATGAGAGTCAATAGACAATATTTGCCAGAAAACTACACTGCGTAGATAGTTTTAAAAAATTGTGCCTACATTATGTTTACTTTTTTATATTTTGAATCCCTTTAGTAAAACGATTGGCAATAATTTTTCAGGTGATTTTTACATTTGATGATAGATATTATCAAAGGAAATGTCCAGTATTCTGAGATCCTTTAAGTTTGTTCTTTTATCAACCTTTTCTTTGTCTTCTTCTAAAGTCTTTTCCTCCTAAGAAATCGTTAGTGTAATGATAATAGCATTTTTCATGTGATAAACTTTTAGGATCATTTTAATTATTAAAGGAGAAAATGGGATGCAGTCAATATCATCTTATTTTCCATTAAAGTGAATTCAAAGTGACTATTTCACACACACAAAAAAGTGACGGAAAAAACATAGAAAAGGAATTCTATATTATTTATTTATTTTAAATAATAATCAGTTACGTTTCACATGACTAATGGAGTAAACATATGGTGAACAAATTAACAGAGAAACAAACAATTGAAAGTCCAAGGAAAGAAGTCAAATTTGAATAGTTTGTTATAAGCATAGCATCTAATCCTCTGATGTCGACAAGCATTTCAAAGTCCAACTATAGAACTGCTAATATTCTTTAATCATTTACAACTTTTAGTTGTGAACATATCTGATTTTGTTCACATTCTTACTCGATAACCACTAAAGTAGGGACAGTTTTTCATACTCTTTTGTATCTAGTAGTATTAGCTTCTTCTTTTTTTTTTTATCTATACTATATACCAAAAAGGCCAAAACTGTCCTACACTATTCGATTTGGTACAAAAATATCTTTCGTTTTTTTTCTCATACACATTTCATTTCATTCCCAAACTCTAACATTTTCTTGCTTAAATTGTTATTTTTATTGTTGTGGTGGTGGCGCAAATTCCTCCATTTGCAGAATCTAAAAGATGAAGATGTTACATTTTCTTTTGAAATCGGGTTTGAATTAATAGGGTTTAAAATTGGGACGGGTCAACCGAAACTCAGGTTATGGTGGTTTTTTCTTTTTAAGTTAGCAAGGGTTCATATTTAGGCTAATGGGATGGTAACACGTGCATATTCATTAAATTTTTCTACTTCTTTTAGATAAGTCCGTTAGTAATAAGGGCATAATTGAGCCACTAAGATAACGGTGAGAGTATTTTTGGCTCAATAGGTGGATGAAGGTCATTTTTGTACCAAATAAAATAGTCTAGAGGCAGTTTTGGACCCTTTTCCGTGCTAGTATATATTAATAAAACTATAAAGGCAACTGCCTTCATCAGGCAAGAGTTCTTACTCAAAATTAGTCCCCTTTCTTCACAACTAACTTAAACCATAGACTAAATGGCAGCTAAATATGGCGTTTGAGTAGTGTTTTATTGCTCGAGGGTAACTCCTACTTATTTAGTTGTCTTTGACACGCCCCTGACGTGCGAGCCTGATCCATTTTCATGAGCCAAGCACAAGAAACTTGATAATGGTTGGCAGGGAGACTTTAACTCATAACCTCTACCTGCTTTGATATCAATGTCGAATTATGTGACCATATTATCTAAACTTTTAAGCTGTTAGAGAGGGTACATTTCACGTTACTTAATTATGTCTTTCAAATGCCATTGTCAAAACGGCAGTAGCACCTTATAACATGAGACATTTGGAATCACTACAACAACTAACATGTCCAGTTTCATGATTCAGGTTATACAGAACAGAGAGCACCAGCATAAGCATGAACCAAAAAAGAAGGAAAAATTGTAGGTGGGTTGTGCTTAAATTTGTAGGCGGATCGTGCTTTCTATACCAAAGTCAATCTCGCCTGTCGATCTAGTGCTAATATCAAGATTGACACCAGGTTATGAAAACCTGGTTCACTCAAGAATTGTACACAAACAGGTCTGCATGAAGATAAGCTTGTGAAATTTTCTTGGTATATAGAAGGATTTAGTTGCATTTTACATTGTAAGTTATACCGTATACAGATTTACTGTGGTATCTCATTGGCCAAAGTAATGCAAAGTAAACACTAAGGACTGAGGGGTCACGTCAAACTTACCGCCAAACTCACAAAGAATCCTAAGAATGCACCAGCTATGACTTCAACCTCTGTATGACCAACTTGTTCTTTCAATGGAGCAAAAGTAGATGAGACTCTTCTTTCATCAGGTTTAAGCAATAGAGTAACATTTTTCAACCTTGGTTGAAAAGGACTTGATTCGTCTAATAATCGAGGATCAGGGCTCTCTGTACCTGAGGATAATTTCTCTTGTATAGAATCCGTCAAAACATCAAGTTCGTTATTAGATGGAACTGAGTTTATTTGATTTCTGAACAAAGCTTTATTGAACGCTTTTGCATGAATGCCTACTTCCCTTCGAACTCCCTACAGAAGCAAAATATTGAAGGTGAGACAGACCAGACGTATAAAGAAAAAGGAATAAAAGAGGTTTTAAAAAATGGAAAGAAAAGGAATAACTCATCCTATTTCTTCGATGACTGTATAAGTTTTACCACTACATTTTTCCACTTAATTCAAACATATGAAAAGCAGGGATTTTTGGATGAGACAATTCAGGGTGTACAATTGACGAAAAAAATATAGAATATAATTTCCCTACCTGTATCAGCAGTAATTGCTCATCTTTTCCTTTTAGAGCAAGTAGAGAGTTTCATATTGTGGCCTCGTAACAACTGAGTATTGTTCTTTTACTTTCACAGTTAGTGAAAAATTTACATTTTAAGTATGTTTTCAACCATATAATAGCGGCGCAAATAGAAATTTAGCCCAACTCACATAACATTAGCCTTTATATGAAATATATATGGTTCACATCTGTTTAGCTGGGAAGATGACTGGTAACGTGAAATTTATCTTCCTAGGATAATATCCTTTCTGCTTTTGTTGTCATTGCCGAGTTCCTTCTTAGTTATCCAAGAAAAGAATGACGAGTGTCTTCTTGAAGAAATATCGACAAAAATCACTCCCGTCTCCTGCTATATTTTACACTTCAAAGGATTGTGTTTAGAGCTGTTATGCCACAAAGAACCTTAGAACACCAGCTCTGATCAGATTCATAGTTTCCAAATTTCAAACTTGTTTTGATAAAAGTATCAAATGGCACTATTAATAGTTATCTTATTCTTTTCTGCCCCTACAGCTTTTTTTCAAAGGGGGGAACTAGCAGTCTTAGCACAAGGCAAAATCTAGCATTTTCTCATATTGCAATAGGTGTGAGTCGAGCAACGTACAAAGTCTGAAAGAAAATTTTTCTTGAAGTGAAGCTGGAAAAAGAAAAGGAGGGACACTCAAGTTTCCGTAACATACCTGTGCATCATACATCACAAGGCCAGCGTAAACTACTGCTAAACCAAAAATCGAATCTGAAAAGCCCCTGCAGTTACAGCACTCATAGCATGTCACTCATAGCTAGACAAAAACAACTAGTCAAGAAAACAGAAATAATTGCAACACTACAATGTTTTCTCCAAAGTTCTAATTCATGTGTGACTTCCTCTAGGGGGAAAATACAAAAGGAGTAAATACCTTTCTAAGCCAAGGGCAGTGGCTGTGGCGACTACTGCCTGTCATTTCGAAGTAGATAAAATTAAATGAGACGGAAATGAAAAAAAAGACAGCAAAGCTAGTTTCTGCGTATATAGCTAAATTTTCTTCTACCAGTTTATAATAGATTAATTTGGGACTGAAGCGCTGATCAGTTTATTGCAGACTTTGGTTTTGAAAGCAGGTCGTGTAAATGATAGGTGAGGTTATACAAGGTTGTGAAAGCATAGAAGGATAAAGATCTTACAGATGAGTGTGTAGAAGGGAAACCACCAGCCTGTAAGGCAGTCTTGAAATTGAACTCATTGCCATAAAATAGAGTTGAAGTAAAAGGCTTCATCAGCTGACCAACAGCTGCAGACACCGCTGCTGCAACCAAAACCTGTGGGTCGGTTAAAAACAAATTAATAACAAATCTTTCCACATCGATGCTTCTTCTGGTAGAACATTGCTTCCACACCTTACATTGCCTGATCAAACCATTTCCTATTAGGATTTCAGAAGATTATGAGAGCGTGATCTGTTCATTCTCAAGACAGTTGCCCCGTTTTCCAGGTTTAGGCACAAATGCCTGGAATAAGAACCAAATGAGGCATCTTTCACCATACGAACGTTAATCCAATAAATTTAGAGCCCAATAGAGACATAATATACAACCAATTAGAATCCCCTCTTTATGGTGAACAACTGGAAGTTAACTATCTATAAATACACATACGATGCAACTAAAATACTCCACTTTTCTTTGAGATTGTAAAGAAAATGAACATCCTGTAACACTTCTTATATTATCATACATTTGGAATTGACCCTCCATATACTATAAACATTAAGCCTACATAGACCTGAACTGAGACATTTCCCACCATACATAGTGTAAATCAGACCAATTTGGGAACTAATTGACAAATGTATACACAATCACATATTACTAAGTAATCATAAAAAGATTGAATCTAGATTTAATCTTATTTGTGAAACTGACGCTACAACTCTCACCATACACAATAACAATCCAACTAAACTGCAGACTAATTGATACATAAAGATTCCAACTTTACACAAAAGAACCAAGAAAAGCAAACCATCTAGAATAAGATGAGACATTTTCACCATACATAATGGAAATCGAACCAATTTGGGACCTAATTGACAAATTTTCACACATTTTTACATCTAAATTTAGCTTATGGAAAAATACTATATCAAAATTTATTAATTTTTTATGAAACTGACCCTCCATCTCTCACCATACACTATGAAAATCCAACAAAACTTAAGCCTAACTGATACATAAAGATTCCAACTTTACACAAAAGAACCAACAAAAAGCAAAAATCAAGAATAAGGGGGTAAAAAAAGATGAACTTTTTTTGTACATATCAAACAAAAATATGAAGTGGAGTGACTAACCTTGTTATGGATAACATCAGTAATGTCTTCTATTCCAATCCCATGAAGACACAGCAACTTAGGCAAAGGTTTATAGGACAAAGAAGATGAAGAAAAACATCTACCATGTTTTCTAGGACAAGGATATATGAGGATTTTAGTTGTTGGATTGTTGTAAATTGAAGTGTTATGTCTTCTGCAGAATCTTAAAGAAGCAGATGGAGAGCCCCAACTTTGCAACAACATGTTTTTCTGTTAACAGTGTTCAACTGTTGGAAGTTAGTTTAGCTTTGTTCTGCGTTTACTTTGCTCCACTAACATAGCAGCTAGAGAAGTAATGATGTGTTCAAGTAAAATTACATTTTCATCCCTGCACCTTTTTTCTGTTTTTTTCTTTTATCATTTAGGAGTACTATAATTGTTTTTAATAAGGTTTTTTCATTTATATATTTTTTATTATTTTTCCCTTATCGATTTTTTTTTGGTTGAGGGAGGGGAGGAGAATGAGGTGGCTCTAAGGGTGTTAAACGGACGGGTCATATTGGATATGAGTGGGGTCAAAACGGATAATGCAAAAACGGATAAATTATTCGACCTAACCCATATTTAATACGAATAAAAAACGGGTTAATCGGCGGATAATATGGATCTAGATTATCCATGACTTCTTGAATATGATTACTTTTGAGAGAATTTATAGTCTCCTAAACTTGAAGAACCTCCAATTTTAAGCTTTACAAATGTAGAAGTGAAATCCATTAATTATCTATTGGTTATCCATTTTTTAAATGAGCTAGTCTTAGGGTAAGTGAGTTGTACGTGTAGCCTGTCTAAATGAGTATAAATATTTTTAAAAATCATATAAAGATTATTTTTGAATTAAAATAAATGTGTAAATTTATATTTAAAAAGAATATTATTGACTCTGTATAGCTAATTCAATAAGGGATATTAATTTATAGCCCATATTTCAATTTACAACCAACTAGCCTAAAAGTAATAGGCTAAGATTCAATATCCAACTCCAATAGGTTCTAGAAATTACTATTTAATTTTTAAAAAGGATTACTCAACCTTTTAAGTTAATTTTCGAATCAGTAACTGTGACTCAAATATTAGTTCAACAAAATAAATCCATTTGGATGGTGAAAATTAAATTTTTAACAAGCTTAAACATGTAGGTTTAAATTTCGAATTTGATTTTGTGAGAAATTTAGCGTGGATGTTATTTAGACTTGTTAGAAATAGTATAAGGAGGTTGTATATAAAATTTGAAGTCATTTAATGGAGATTTGGACTGGTTTTGAACAAGAATTGCAACTGAAAATCGTGGAAGAAGTTCGTCTACAGACGCTTGTATAAAGGTGTATAATAGTATATAATAGTGTATAAGATGTGCTTATACACTCATATACACTATTATACAATATTATACATAATTATACAAAAAACTGACTTCGTCTTCTTCCTTGCGTCTTTTCTAAAATTTAACTCAGATTTTGCTCAAATCTATTCCAAATCACTTCAAATTTAAATTTTGAACTCCTTTTGATATTTTTAATCAATTGGAATAACACCCAACCCAATCAACTAACAAACTCAAAAAATTCTATTTTCGAAAGCAAAGCTTTGAATAGCCTTCAATGGTGGACTTCTACTCTTCAATTTTCTTACATTGCAACCAGGTGACACAGGGTAAGAAGCAGCAATAGCGGACGGCCCCTTGAAGCATATGTAGAAGATGTGAGAAGAAGAGAGAGTGAAAACAATGGTTGTGAGAACACATATTTAACTCCATAGCTTTTAGAAGCAATGGTTGTAAGAACACAAGTTTTGAATTTGCTAGTGCTTTCAAAATATGTACAATATGGGCTTGATCGGGTAAAACTTAAAAATATGGGCTATTTTTTGTTATGGTGTGAGGTCATGTGTATTTTCTTGTAATTCTTTCTATTTTTTCTTATTTCTTACCCTTTTGATATTCGCATTGGGACTCAACTAATTAGCACTTACAGATTTAAGTCTAGTATTCCTCCTCCTTTCATTTTTGCAGACATGGTTTCAACCTTATGCTGGTTGAAATGGCGATGCTAAGCATTAATGAGATACACGACTTTATAAATAGTTAACTTTATTACTAATTAATGAGACTTTAAAAGTCGGTCTTAATTAATAATTAAGTTTAACAACCTTGCTTGCTAAATGTTAACGGAGAATCAGGGACGGAGCCAGCCTTTTGGCTACGGGTTCGGTCGAATCTAGTAGTTTTGGTCAAAACCTTTTATTTGTCTTAAGAAATTCATTGAATATACACAAATTATTAAGTTAGAACCCAGTAACTTAAACGAACTTGAATCCTGACTCCATCTCTGCCGAGAACGATTGTTAAAAACTAACCGTTTACGTTTAATATTGTCTCACTAGTACTTCCTCTATTCATTTTATGTGGCGGTATTTAATTAATTGATCATAGAGCTTAAGAAGAAAGAAGACTTTTGGCATATATCAAAAGTGACTTTGGACTTGTCGGTAATATGGCATGATATTTCTATAACTATAAAGGTATGTTATTAAGGATAAACTAAATAATTTAAAGTTAAAAAAAAAAAAACAGATACAGTTGAGCATATATACATAACACTAGCAATGTAAACAAAATTATATTATTTTATTATACACTGTGTTATACTTTCTATTCTAACTGTAATAGTTTATAATTAATAATCCTCTAGTACAATATAAAAGGCTTTTAAAGCAACTCACTAAAATGTGGTGAGGGAAATAATTTTTTATATTAACTAATTATTCATAACAATTTATCAAATTAACTGAAGCAAATTCTAAGCATCATTATCTAAACGCAAGTAGGCAATGACTGAGAAATGTAAATGAGCATTTAATACATTAAGATTGTCATATTTTTCGGTAATTCCTCCTTTTATACAATGTCATTTTTCATTAATCAAAATTTTATGCATATTTGATTTTAATTTGGCTAGGGAAAAATTGGATTTCCAAATTTTGTATAGACAATTCTGACACTTTAGTCTGATACTTTTAGAATATGTTACTCTACCGTACAAATACAATAAAAGTTTAACAAAATTCGGTACTTCTTTTAATTTTTCTCACAAGACATTGTCCTAAAATTTTATTTGCGCGCTTCAATGAAAATTTTGTGGAGTTTATGTGTGATGACCCAAAATGTATCTTTAAATTTAATAAATAATTATGTATTTTAAAACCTAGAAAAGCATTAATTATCATTCATCGACTTGTGTGCACAGTCCGTAAAATATTTTGGAAAGTTTTTATGTGAAAAATGGATTAAAATGTGAAATAGAGCCTTAAAACTCAATTGAGTTGATTTTGGTCAACATTTTAAGCAAACGGACCCGAATCAGTATTTTGACAGTTCCAGTAGCTCCGTATCGTGATTTGGGACTTGGGCGTATGCCCGAAATTTAATTTAGAAGTCCCTAACTCAAGTTATGACCATTTAACGGAAACTAGTAATTCAAAGGCTAAAGATTTCCAAGTTTGACCACGAGGTTGACTTTTTGATATCAGAGCCGGAATCCGATTCTGAAAATTTAAATAGCTTTGTTATGTCATTTAGGATTTGTGTGCCAAATTTGAAGTCATTCCGGATTCATTTAATATGTTTTGGCATGATTTTGCAAATTGAAAAGTTTAAAACTCTTAAATTCGAATCGAGGTGTGAATTGTAATTTTAGCGTTGTTTGACGTGATATTAGACCCCGAGTAAGTCTGTATTATATCACGGGACTTATTGGTATATTCGGACGGGGTCCCAAATACCTCGAGTGTGATTCGGATCGAATTTTGAACTTAAGCCAATTCTGGAAAATTCGGCCTCTGATGTAATCGCACCTACGAGGGTCTTGGCCGCAAGTGCGATGTTGCGGGTGCGGCGGAATTGCGCAGATGCGGGACTGGGCTGGCCTGGGGTCTTCGCAGGAGCGACCATTTTGCGCAGAAGCGGATGTCGCATGTACGACAGGAATGTCCGCAAATGCGAAACTTCAATTGGCAGCCTGACATCGCAAATGCGAGTCCGTAAATGCGAAACTTTTATTCGCAGATGCGAAAATGACTGGGCAGAGCCCATAAATTCGGAAGTCGCCATTTTTACTCATTTTTTAGTTTTGAGTCTCGGATTTTGGCGATTCCAAAGCGATTTTTCACGACTTTAAATTGGGTAAGTGTTCTATAACCAAAAGTGATTATATTTCATAAATCCATGTCTATATTCATCATTTATTTCGGATTTAGACGGAAGAAATTGAAATTTTTATAAATTCTTTCAAAAACGAAAAATTTAGATTTGAAGGTCCATTTGACATCGGAACTGAATAATTTTTGTATGGTTGAACTTGTAGCGGAACGGGTATTCGAATTTTGTGAGTTTTTTCGGGATTTGAGACGTGGGTCCCACTATCGAATATTTTAATGAATTTCAGATTTTTATCCGGAAAATTAGTAAATTCATATAGAATTAATTCATATGATTCGTATTGAATATATCGAATTGTTTGTGAATAGATTTGAAGCTTTTGGAGATAAATTTAAAAGAAAAAGTTGTGGTTGAGTAATTGATTGGAATTTGCAAAGCGAGGTAAGTGTCGTGGTTAACCTTGACTTGAGAGAATAGAACCCTTAAACTATTTGTTATGTGAAATGCATGTGAACGACGTATAGGTGAGGTGACAAGTGTCTATACGTCGTCAAATTAATTGTTTGCATAATTACTTGAAAAGTCATAAATCGTTTTAAATCACGAATTAACATTTAGCATATTAAATATTAAACTGCTTATTTTTTCCCTGATTTTCATAATAATTTATTATTTGTCAATGTTTATTTTATAATTAAATCATAATTATTGTATGTTTGTTGTCCTATAATTTTATATTAATTGTTGTATTTATTGGGAAAAGTTTTTCTTTAAAAATTGGTAAATGGATATATTGGAGGATCGGGTTGCACGCCGCAACAGAATTGATTGAAATGAATATATTGGAAGATCGGGTTGTACGCCGCAACAGACTTATTAAAAAGTCCATATTGGAGGATCGGGTTGCACGCCCCAATAGACTTATTAAAAGTCAATATTTGGGGGATCGGATTACACGCGCAATAGACTTATTAAAAGTCAATATTTGGGGGATCCGATTGCACGCCGCAATAGACTTATTAAAAGTCAATATTTGAGGGATCGGATTGCACGCCGCAATAGATTTATTAAAAATTAATATTTGGGGGATCAGATTGCACGCCGCAATAGACTTAT